CTCACTCACAGTCTGTCTGTCTGTCTGTCTGTCTCTCTCTCTCTCTTTCTTTCTCTCTCTCCCCAAAATACATAACATTAATGTATCCCATACTTTTTTTGAGCATTTTTTACTTTCTGGCATAACACGATGTTCTAGACTTTACTTACCCCAGCTTTGGAATCAGCCTTTTCTCTAAGGAGCTCTGGATTCTTTTAAGTAGGGAGTAGTTTCAGAAACTAAGACTCGAGCCCTGGGTGTGGAAATTCTTGATAGCCACTGCCAGACTGTTTTCCAAAACAACTTCACCACGTACAAAACCCCCGCAGCCTGTGAATGGCAGTCACTACACTCTTACAGCCCTGAATGTTCTATAAACCGCCTGGGTATAAACAGTATCCTGGGCTTAGATTTGCTTTCTTGCAGGTATTGGAGTCAGGCTGGGAGTCCTTTTACACTTCTTAGCCATTCGTTAGCTGTCTGCTTGTCTGTGAGGTGCCTGTTCTGTTTGACATTTTGTAACTGAATTGTATATACCCTTGCTCTTGGTTAACGCAGAGTATCAGCTTTTCGTTAACATGTGTTGCAAACTTTTTTAAAAGGCTGCATAACAGCGGTGCCTGGCAGTCTCAGTCAGTAGAGCACACCATGCTTGATCATAGGGTTGCCCAAGTGGGCATGGAGCCTACTTTAAAAAAAGAAAAAAAATTGTGTGACGTGGCATCCTATTTTTGCCATAATCTACTTAAATCATTACCCCGTTAAACATTCCAGCTTTTCCGTTTTTTATAAATACAGTTTCCAGGAACATGTTTGTACTCTGAGACTCAAAGTACTAGTTTTGGTCCTTGAGCTGGAACCACTGTACTTGGATGAGCCAGCCTGTTCCTGATGGAGACTGTGTGCCATTTCTCATTGTATAGTCAGTGGCGAAGTGAATTCCCTGTACGTTTTACCTTCAGTCTGCCCGTGACCTATGTGCTTGGGGTCAATACTTAGAAGTAGGTTTGCTGGGTCGGAAAGGTGTGTACATGGCAAATTTTGGCCTTCAGTCAAATTGCCCTTCCAAAAGGCCTTACCAGTTTACCTTTCCACAGTCCACACCCCTCCTAACAACGGTCACTACCAGCCTTTTTATTTATTCATTCATTCATTCATTCATTCAT